ACTCGTAGCGTCTTGTACTGTCAATCGTAACGTTAAGTGGAGCGTATGAACAGGAGAAGTTGGGAATCTTACGCCCCAGCCAATGGCGGGAGTAGCGAAAGCGAAACAATAGCCCGCGCGTTGCGTCTAAAACGAAAGCAAGAAGGGACGAAGCAGGTGAAAGATGGATAGTGTCATTGAACCAGCGTTGCGTCTTCGTCCATGTGATACCTGTGTTGTTCGCAACGCCCCTGTACACCGGGTGATGCTTGCACCAAGCAGCTGAATGCCGAAATCACCCAACGTCATGTTGGGGGATTTCAGATGAGATTGAACAGTGGGTAAATGGTCGACATTTTAAGATCACTTGATATTTCACGTGTGATCACCTAATTTATAGTATAAACCAAAAAAAAATAATTCCAAAAAAATATACACCAGAAGTCTTCGATCTTGAAGATCTAGATTGTTACTCCAATTTACGTGCACCGCCGGTATGCTCGTGTTAGACAAAATAACTGAAGTAGTAACATCAGGAAATTATAGAAGAGAGTAGCCAAAAGCTTTGCGTGAGCAAAATATAGGTTCGTCACCAGTGCGCGCATGCGGCAAGCTTAAACCTCGTTCTGGAGTGGCACGTGCTGACGATTTCTTCAACAACGTGGACAAATTTTGGTACGTTATTCTAAAACTTGCCATTAGAAGTTTCTTGAGATTGAGAAACGATGTCTGATTACATGTCAGATGTCTTAAATAATATTGTTCATTGCATTATACTTTTTGTTAATAAAAACTTTCATACATGGTACTTTGAACGGTTTTTTTGCGAACTTTTTAGCAATGCGCACGCAAGCGATCAGCAAAGCCGTATATACAGAGAGTTTGGCCAGTCGTTGGGAAGTATAGGAGACAAATGAGGAGGCGCCATTGGCCGAAAGCGGGCTGGCTGTGTTCCAGGGCGTCTTCAAAAATTCGAAGGTGACCAACCAGAAGCCGGAAATAATACCCTGGCGCTGGTCGCGAGAAACAAACCTGATCACTGCATCGGAGTAACTATCGGTGACTGAAAATATGGTACATGTGATGTTTCAATCACGCTCATCCAAAATGATGGTGGAAGAGTACGACTAGCGGAACGATCTACGTAATCCTTACGCCAAGCGCCGAGGGCCGGGAATCTGCCGTCCGAGCGGACACACTCTGTCCGAGCAAAACAGAGTTGAGCAGCGCATTCATTTCTTACATATTTCTGCATGATCATGATCAAAACAACACGTGAACCCCATTTTCATCCACGCAGAGTCACTACACTTCGCTCTTACGCGCTTATTAAAGCCATATACGAACATATACCTTTGATCAGAACTGTTTCTTGCTACCGCCGCTAGGGGATTCTTTTCGGCTTCTGGTTGGTCAAGAGAGCATTCCAAGCCCTCTTTCCGAGTCTGGCGCACGCCCTGGCTCTGCCCCCACCTCCCATTTACTAAACTCTCTCTATACACGGCTCTGGCGATCAATACCGAAAACACAAATTTTCAGACAATGAAAATCTTTTTTCTTTTTTTTTTAAGTTTCCGTCACCTTTTATGTTACTTTATAGGATGTTTTAAAGTCCTGCGGCATACATAATTGGGGAAGGAGGTACATATATTCCGTGGTGCTTCTTTTCTGAGCCTGCACAGAGCCTTCCGCTGCGTGGTGCAGACGTTAATCGATTATCAGTGGCGTTACATACACCAGTGACTTCACCAGCGCGACGGCGCAACGCTGGTTCAGTGACAATATCTAGCTGTCCCGTTCTTCGTCCCATTTTATTTTATTTTTTTAGACGTAATTAACCTGCTATTGTCCCGCCATCGCCGCACCCGCCATCAGTTTGGGCATGAGATTCAGTAACGGCTCACGTTCATATGCTAAGATTTACCTTGCGATGGACCACAGATGACGCTACGAGCCATACAAGTCAATCCAATTTCTTGCGAGTTTCACCTGACATTTGAGAAAGCGCAGTGTCGGTGTTGTCACTCGAGCGGACGCTGCAACCCATCGTGATGAGAAACGGTCCACAATGATGTCTAGTTCAAAGAATCGAATAAATTTGTCAACAGGCTGCCCATATTAAAATACTATCCAGAAAAAGTAGCGCAATGCTCCGCAATCAACCATGCACACCAACCTAAAGACCGAATGTTCCGCAAAGTTTAGTTTTCATACGAAATATCAGCCATATCACTAATAAAAAAATAATTTTGAAAAATTTTTTTTATTATGATTTTTTATGGTGTGTGAGACATAATGCGGCCAACAACGGCCATTGTGGAAGCGGTGCTCGAGAGCCACTATAGTTAAGACAGAAAGTCTCAATCGGTAATTGACTGCGGCATAGACCTTGCTAACGTTAATTTTTTTTTATTTAAAACAGTATAATGCAACATGTATTTGCGTATTCTGAATTACCCGTTTCCTACGGCTTACTAAGAAAATTGAAAAAAAAGATCGAGGATTAATATATTTTTTTTTAATTTCCGCACAGACATTTTGAATTTTGACTTTTTCGATATTTTGTAAATTTCTGGGCGCAATGCAAAAAAAATTATTTACAAATGTTGAGCGCTCTCTGTTTTGTTTGAAGGTGAAAAAAGCATAAAGTACACTGTACAAAACGTTTCAGCGTAAAACTTTTTATAAGAGGTGTTTAAATAAACCCAAACAAATGCCTAAATATGAAAGAGTTGCGCAAAAGGCCAAATTTGTCATTTTATTTTAATTTGAATAAGAACTTATTTTAATTTAAGCTAACTGTACTAATTTAAGCTAGACAACTAGTCGGCGTACTTTATAAACAAAAGTATTAATGTTGTGAAAAATATTGTTTTATTCCGTGCCCCTCGATGTTGCGTCTACGTGCGATTGGAAAGATTATAGTTCACCTCCTCTCAGACGCAGTTTTTTTTTTCAAGAAAACTAGGTACAAGTAAGCACCATTACTTTCTAAAGAGATAGTTTGCCACCTAATAAAAAAATATAATTGAAAACAAAAAACTATGCATGACACCCCTATGACTACGCTTATCTGGACAAACCCTGTAGATTACGTAAAAATATTCACTCGATTAATTATTTGGTTTAATATGGTGACTAAGAAAACGTTTAAGGTATTGTGCAATTATAAAGATCCAGTGTTGGAATTGACAACGTTATGGGTAATTTTTTTTTCTGGTAACGTGTAAGGGCACAGGCGAGCTGGAGAATATTAAGCAGCATAATAAATCCGAAGTCGCGGAAACACGAAGGGCACACACAACACCCCCTACACCACCGTGTACTACATATAGTCGTTGGAATCGTAAATTGTTATTGGGGAATGTATTCTTAATATATTAAATTATCGCCAATGAAATCACATTTCTGATTATTTCTTATTTTTATTAAAATTAATTATTTAGTGCAATTAATGCAAAGGTGCTGGCGAGCTGGACAGAATAAACGATAATCATCCCTGGAGATGGGGAACAAAAGGGACAAAAGAGAAAAACAAGTCTCCAAACACAGCCGTCAAAGTGCTGAAAATAAAAACAAAAAAACTTCAGAAACCCGCGTTATTTTGTACACGGCGTCATTTAAAAAATAGTGTCGCTTTCATCATGCAAGATCTCCCCCGCTGCTACAAATTACTCACCTTGATTGCTTGCTTTTGTTACATTTCCTGACAACCAAAACTTCCTCCGTATTTTTTTTTTAATTATTATTTCGGTATTTACACGTTTACGTAAAAGCGCTCTCAGCGTCCCGATGTATTATGTTTTGCGACAAGTTTGGTATTTAAAACAGAATTTTTTTTTTTTTTTTTTTTTTTTTTTTGTGACACGTTTGATTTTTTTAGTCGCTAGTTCAGCCTGTACTCACCGTGTCGTTCATGACTCGACAGCACGAGGGTGCCATAGTATTTCTGCCCCAATAGACTTCCCGTTGTATGTTCATAAATTATTTATTATTCCGCGACGCGCTGTGATCGGAAAAGAATGTGCCTTCGAGCATCATATAATTGTAGTACGCTCGGGCGCCCTTCGGTTAAGACGCCTAAAAACACTTTAAACAAAGCCAAAAAAAAAAATAGATAGAGAAGCACGCAGTGGTCTACCGATAGCGGGCGGTAGCGAGCTTGTTTACAAACACACGATAATGAATATTATAAAATCATAATTAACATATACGAGGCAGTCATAGTGAGGGATACTATCGAGCACCCGGACCTGGCCAACACGCTGCATAACGCAGCTCTTCGCCTTCCATTTAATTTGGTATTTTGTTTGTCAGTTGACCGAATTGGCGTTGTTCGTCCGACCTACGTTGCGGAAGCTTCGGACTCGGCGTCCTCCATGAAGGCCCGTTCACACACTTGCAAGCGAGTAGGGCAGGCTGACACGAGACCTGTTTTAAGTCACTTGCGACGGCTTAGGTCCTGCACCGCAGCGGCGCATCCGGTCATAAGCCGTCGCAAGAGGCTTAAAAGCCGCTCTTGTATTAACCTGTCCTTGTAGGTTGCGAGTGTGTGAACTGGCCTTACCTTTTCCATCGATTCCAGTCATCGGGCGGCACCTGGAGTTGGCGTTCAAAACGCCCAGGTGTTCGTTTCTGTTTAGACAGATTTGCTTCGGACAAGTTTTTTTCGGCGGTATGCGGTCTTGACGAACTTTTAAAGATTACTGTTTAGAGCGTTTTATGGATACCGGAGACAAAAACTACAAGAGCCTGACTGCTTGTGAAAAGGGGTTTGAGATTATATATTTTACCCTATACTATTGAGCACAATCAAAAGAAAAACATAAGAGAGCGACAATGTGTTACAAAAGAGTTTAAAACATGGGAACCACTTTTCGCGTCTTCTCTTCTGTTGCAGATGGTTACCTAGTCTGCCAAGCCCCGAGGATCTGGACACAAACATTCAACGGAAACCGAAACGTGCCTTGCTCTTCAAATCTTGGTATTTCACAGCCAAGCCTCATTTGAACTTAGCAACCATGTCTTCAACAACAGAGATCAACAACTCGACCGACGGCTACGTGGGGCATAGCCATCAGGACATCTCTTGGGATGATGCCACCTGGATTATGACCAGTTCCTTCATTATCTTCACCATGCAGTCCGGTGAGAATGGAAAACTTTATGTAAGCTGTCTGCTTGTAAGTAGATTAATTATGATATCGACGTCGTGAAATCCCATGAATATAACAAGTTTATCTTCCATGCGTTTTAAATATACAGGGTGTTTGTGTCTAATTTAAACAGAATATATATATATATATATATATTTTTTTTTTTTTTGTAAAAGGCTTTCAGTATATTTTTTGCGCTATGGTTTTTGTCGGTATTTCAATCCTTTCAGGACTTAAATTTTTCATAATCCAAAAGCCGTTCACCTTGTTGTTGTCATTCATTCTGATATCCAGCAACATCTCATCATTTACTCTATCAACGCCCCTGCTGCAAATAACTAAATCAAATTTTACATAGAATTCGGCACCCCGTGGAAGAATTTCCTGAAAAACAATGTCAGCGTGAAGCAATGTTTTAGAAAATTGCTAAAAGCATATATCATCAATAATCTAGGCTTGTGAGGTATAATAACCTAGCTAGTAATAGTGTGCACGTTAAACTTTTTTATCGCAGAGTTTAATCACTGTGCTGTGTCGGTCGAACCTTCTGGTCGTTCGCACTCGCCTGACATGCTTCCCGATTCGTAATATTCGTTATGAAACTTCCTTTGCCGGAAACACCAAAATTATCAACACCAAAAGTAAGAAAGACATCAGCCTGGAACAAACGTTTTCTCAATCGCCGGAAAATGAAATAATATATTGCACTAATTTTGTCATCTTTTGCGATGAGTGCTGGGCCCTTTGAATGTTGCAGAAGCGATCAACAGCGCAAGACCCATGTGCTTTCCCGGTCACTCTCCACAAACAATAAAACCCCCTCTATAATTATTGCAAAAAAAAATGTAGTGCCAGAAAGATACCAGTTGCTGACATGTACTGCAAAAAAAAAAAAAGCTTCCGTCACGGTTTTTCTCACACCAAAATGATGATGATGGTGTGCCCAGCCAAGCACAAATTTGAACTTGTTTTCTAGGCATCGGCTGGTACCAAATGAGCTTTCAATGGTTTCCGAGTTTATTTTGTTTAGTTTGCCAATCGTTTCCTTTTTTTCCCCCTTTTTTTTTCTTGACCTATCGAGCTTCATTTCGCCAAATTAAAAATAATGTCGAGGGAGTCCGCGTTTTATATATCGTTTTAATTTATCTTCCAAAAGAAAAGAGCGCGCAATAATTGAAAGCAGAGCCTATCCAGGCATGCGCTAGCACCACGTAGCTGATATTTAAACTTCTTTTTTTTTTTTTAACAAAGATAAAAAGGTGGAAGGGTCTTTTACTCTATCGGATGCCAGCATAGCCGCTACTTTCGTTTCATTTGCTTTCAATAGAGAACAGTATTTCGAGCTCTAACAGGCAATAACGACCAAATTTACTTTCCAAACGACTTCAAATAACACCTGCTGGTGGAATGCATATATTTCTATGTTATTATTTTGAGTTATTTCAAAGTTTTCATTGATTAACAGTGCTTGGGATTGGAGTGGTCGGCTTATCACTGCTGGTTCAACAGCGCTTTTAAGAATTACCAGTCAATACACTGAGATGGGAACGACAAAGCGACACACAGAAATAAGCGCAAGCTAACAAGTATTTACTTTTCCTTACATGCTAAAGCGAAGAAAAAAAAAGATAAAATAGGAAGCAGGGGCACAGAAGGGAAAAAACACACACAAAAAAAAATGAACTTTTTTTATCTTCGCCGTCAAAAACGTCTAAACTTGTAGGGAAGGTTATGCGGCTGGTTTACCAAAACGGTGGTCTTTAGTTCATTGTAAAGCTCAGACAGTTAATTTTCGACCACAAATGTAACGAGATACTTAAATCTGTCAGAGTTTTGCGTTACAATCGATACATTGTAAATGTAGTGCAATACTGAGGTACTTATATATATATATATATATATATTTTTTTTTTTGCAAATGTATGTTGAAACGGTGATAGACATGCTCAAAATTATATCTAAGATACTATCGCCATACTGCCCAGTCCTGGGCCAAACAAAGAGATGATTGTTTATTGTATTCCTGGTTTAAGCAGAGACCCCAAATTTCAATAGATGATACAGTGATTGGGTCCCGTAGTTCGAATAAGAAGACCGGAGAAAACACGTCTAGCCATCCGCTGATTACATACTTCTGCCTTCGTGGTTAGATTGATTAGTAATGTGACCAAGTACAAAAAACGCAGTAACATGATATAAAACGACATTATTCGTTATAAGGTTTTTGGTAAGTATAACTATTAGAATAAGCCGTATCGCACTACCGAGTTGGAAAGTGTAAAATTCCATTTCATGACAATTTGCGTTATCCACACTGAAGCATGAAAAAAAATAAAAGAATGCACACCCTTACAAAAGAATTATATCTGGCCAGATCTGAAAATTTCAGATATCGCCACATCAAAAATGGGCCACATATAACCTGATATGGTATATCTGGCAGATATAGCCTCATAATGACAGATATAGCCTGATACCCCTGGCCAAGTATCGAAATCCCAGATCTGGCTAAGTTAGGAAACTCCAGATCCGGCCAGGCATTTCAAAGGGACACAAGCCTGAGATCAGCAATTTATATCTTTTTATTACCTACAATTCTCCCAAGTGCGCCGGCCCGCACTTGAGGAGTTATGGAAACGGTGATCCTTGAGCTTCCTAATAATGGCTAGTTTTGACCAATTCCATAGTTACACAGTTTCGAGTGTAATTCGTAGTCACCCTGAACAAGCCTCCCATACGGCTCAAGTACCTGTAATATCACTTTTAAATTTTCTCGTCAATGGCAGCGTCTATGATACTGCGCATTCTGTCCAAACTTCAAACAGGCTGAGCCGCCGAAATCTTTACCGTATTATCATTCTCGCGATGGTTGTTTTAGCAGGAATTACTTAAAAGCCGAGAAATCCCAACAACCAAAACCGGCATTTAGCTCGGATTCAAGTGAGCTGTTTATGACATTTTTAGCGTTTCTAACTTAATATCAGCGTCTTTGAAGCTGTACGAGAATGATAATAATGTAAGAGATATGTCTGCAGCTCATCCAGGTTGAAGGTTGGACGGAATGCACAGTACTGACATTGGCGGGACATTTTAAAAGTGGTATGGCAGGTATTTGGGTTCTGTATGGCACGTGTTCAGGGTGATTCCGAATTGCACTCAAATCTATGTAACCATAGAATTGCTCGAAAATTTCGATCACTAGGCAGCTGAAGAAACACCGTCCCCGTGATTCCTCGAGTACGGGCCGAGGCGCTTGGGGGATTTAGCAAATTGTCTATTCGGGCGTAATGTTAACACTTTGAAAAAATTAAGTTACATTGAAATCCTCGTGAAAACTAGCACAAATAATCTCAAACTTAAGCTTGTCAAAGCTGAAGTTTGGGATTATTTGTGCTAATATTTAGCTCGCAAACAATGAGTCGTTCAGAGTTTGCTAACAAAGTTTTTTTTTACATTTTTTTACTTTTTAATATATTGAAAACCGGCCGTCAGATAAGTCTGTATATACGCCAGATAAGTCTGTATGTACGCTATATCAGGCTATATATGTGCCAGATAAGTCTGTATATACGCCAGATAAGTCTGTATATACGCCATATCAGGCTGTCTTTACGCCAGATAAGTCTGTATATAGGTCGTATATAATCATATAATGTTTGATATGGCCAGATATGGCACAGATATCAGATTTCCATACGGGCATGATAGCTTGATATGTAAGTATTACTGAATGGATAAACAGAGCAATCAACAGGACGACAGAAATATGTCCGTCGTGTCAGTAACCGCATTTATTTCTAGTAACATATAATTCCATCAACGCGCTCAGCTTCTAAACGTGTTATGCATGATCTCCGAGTGTGTCGAAATCGCAACAAAAGGGGATGGCGTTCACGTCTTGTTATTGAGAAGTGTAAAGGCTGCACTAATTGATTCTTGTAATTAAATAAACTGAAATAAATATATATCTTCTTAAGAAATGCACCGTACAGGCAGTATATGAAGAAAAAAAAACATTGTAGCACAAAAGTCTAGGCTGGAATTTTATTGCCTTCAGTAACCCCAGATGACTTCTACAATAGTAAATGTTGCAGAAAGAACATAAAAATATAAATGTTTGCACTTTGTACACAGTTCTGTAATACGAGTTATTAAATAAATTGCCAGCATTTCATTTCCAGACAATATGTTTGCCTTTCCTTAACTTCGCAACAGGTCAGTTTAAGTCGTGTCCCATATATGAGTTTTGTAATAGGGAGGGATGACCTACACGCTAAAAGATGCATTCGCCTGCAGTACTTCAATCGCCCAAGGAGGGCTAATCACTGCAATCAATGGAGGTAGTTCGGCGACCGGTGAGGCCGGAAAAACGTTTTTACCGAAATGTCGAGGCCTACTGTGGGACACTGAGCACGATGTTTTGCATTATCATGTCATTCTTAGTGTCCTATCGCAAACTTCAATTTTAAGTGGCAAATAGTTTTGTTAGTGCTTATTCTTTATTAACCGAGCTCCGAGCTGCGTAGAATGCAGCTGAGTGGTGCTGCAGTGCTCTACCAAAAAATACAAAGACGTGCGTCTAACTGTGAACAATTTTCTTATTATTTATTGACAACGAAGGCTACATCGCCGGTAGCAATATTGCGTGAAGTGGGATTTAAAAACAGTTAGACGACATAATTGAATATTTACAAAAAATATTATCTCTGAACACTGGTAATATAAGAGAAGCGTTGCCTATAGAAACTGCTGTACAAAAGACGTACAAAAAACATTTTCCATTCAACTTGACTGGAAGACTAAGAAGACCTATTCCTCAAACACACGTCGAACTATATCAAGCAAACTTTTGAAAATGAGTCGAGGGCACATCCTTTGGCAACCTATTTAATACATTAATAGTTCTCTCTCAGAAAAAAAAAACGAAAAAGGGAACACATTAGTGTGAAATGAGTAGGTAGTATTTTGTGTGGGTGGTCCGCCCTTCCTGAG